ATTTCTCCAGAAAAATGCTCTGTGGCATCTGAAAAACCACCTCGAACGCCAAAACCTGGGAGCATTTCTCCAGAAAAATGCTCTGTGGCATCTGACAAGTCACCTCAAATGCCAAAAACTGGGAGCATTTCTCCAGAAAAATCATCTGGATCCTTGAGCCTGAAACACTCTCTCAAAGATTCCTCCAAAATATCAGAGATGGGTTCTGTGTCAGTTTCATCTTCTGATGTTGAGAAAATTTCCAATGACCTTGCGTTGCTCCTTATCATGAGAGTCATCCATAAATCTAAACCTGAGACCCAAAAGTCTGCTGTTCGGATCGCAACTACTACAAAAGGAATAGACACGGTCATCAATCGTCTGAGCAATCTAATGCAGCCTGAACTCAGCAGCACAGCGTCTGCCACAAGTCTGACAAATGACAAGACAAAGTTCATCAAGAAAATAGCCAAACGCCTCATCAAGGAGTTTGGCTGCCCAGACAATGTCTTAAAGGCTTCGATGGCAAATGATTCATCTTTTGACGAGGCTCTGATTAGACATCTAAAAATCACTCTCGGAGTCATCCCGGGTCCCCCAAAGACGTCCAAAATATCCAGGTTTTTTTCTGCGGTGGGAAAAACATTGCTAAAACCCTTCAGGTGGTTCACTAAAGCCAGAGATCATTAAAATGACCATTTTGGCTTTTCCCACTGCCCTGCTTCTTTTAAAATCTTGAAGCAGACTTTTAGCACCAAATCCTTTTTTTAAAAACATCACCATAAAATTTTGGGATCAGCCCTCAAATCCAAATTTTAGAACTGTAGTTCACGCCACCTCGTCTCCTTTTGATTTCCATCCCCCCAACCGGTCGCGGCGGATGGCTGTCCCTTCTGAGCCCGGTTCCGTTGGAAGTTTCTTCCTGTTAAAGGGAGTTTTTCTTCCCCACAGTCGCCTCGTGCTTGCTCAGAAGGGGATCATTTGATTGTTGGGGTTCTCTGTAGTACAGTAGGGCTTTGACCTTACAGTACAAACAGGGAGGAGACTTTGTGATTTGGCTTGATTTTTAAAATATCTAATTCGGCATGAAATAAAAAAAATCCAAATTAAAAATACATTCCAAGTTTGTTTGTGTTTTTCTTCTGTTGAAATATGTAGAAAGTGTTACACGTGTGATTTTAGTCATTTTGCATCAGTTTGTAGCCGACGTGTCTGTTTGTGATCATCCTGCATCTGTTTTTGTCTGATTTGTGTCTTAGTTTGGTCAATTTACATCACTTTTGTGGCCCAATTTAGTTGTTTTGCATGTATTTGTGGCAAAATGTGTGGACCCTGTTTGACGTTGCTATGTTTTGTCTTAATGCTTCACTTTGGTTGTTTATGTATGTGCTCATTTTGATTCTAGATGTAGACCTGACATCTGAAAATTAGCAGTAGGTGCTAATTTTCCACCTTCAAGATTAACAAACACTGTTTAAAGATCTCCGTATAAAGTTCTGTGTGCAACAAGGCCTCTGTAGCATCCAGACCACACTGATCTAGGTCTTCTTGGTAGAAGAAGGTGTTTCCTTTTTTCAGATGTTTAAATGCCAGCCTCCCCAGTTTCAGAAGAAATTTCCTTTCAGCCATCTCACTTGTTTCATGTCCCCCCCACATGTTTGTTCCCCTTCTTCATCTGAACCAACAAGAAGTGTGAGTACATGTCAGTCAGGGTCTTGGGCAGCTCTCCTCTCTGCTCTGTAGTCAACATGTGCTCCAGAACTGTAGCAGTGATCCAGCAGAAGACTGGGATTCTACACATGATGTGGAGACTCCTGGAGGGTCCACTGAAGGGTCACGTTTGGTCCGGCTTTACAAAGTGTGAAAGTCGGTTTGTGTTTTTCAGTGCAGGACCCCGACGTCTGACAGTAAAATCACACAAAAACCAACGATTCAAACACGACGCAGAGGGAGAACATGATCACTGGTTTACATTTTTAAACAGGAAAATAAGACCTAACAGGCAGGTGTAGTAAGGCTGTTAGTTGGTGGAAGTAGCGCCCACGAGGTGCTCACCTGTAGATCTGTGAAGGTGGAGATCCTTGAGTTTATCTTCAGATATTCCAGACAGGTGGAGATCAGCTCAGACTGACCGTGACTGTGCAGAAACTGCAGTACGCTCCTTTAAACATGAGACTGACTCGTCAATATAATTGATCTTTATTGATTTCCAATGAATCTTTGAATCAAAGTGAAAGATTTAAGTGTCCAGACAGTTTAACAAACCCACCATGTAAATCAGACACAGCTGACGGACTACAACTCCCAGCTGACGGACTACAACTCCCAGCTGACGGACTACAACTCCCAGCTGACGGACTACAACTCCCAGCTGCCTCAGCAGAAAAAGCTCAGAGATGAGGCCGACGCTGGATGAAAATGCAGAGTCAGTTTCTGCCCTTCAGGACTTTCCTATAATAAACCAAACTTTTGGTTTTCTCACATTTCTGACACGTTACCAGGAAAACACAAACATTCAGTTTTTCCTTCTTAGAGGACGAGAACGAGCTGAAGATCTCCGAGAGCAGAGTTAAAATCAGGTGGACTCCATCATCGATGGAAAAAGAAGCAAACTAAACTATTTGCTTATTTTCCTTCTACATTAGTGAGTAAACCTTTAAATAAGAGAAGAAATGTCACCATTAAAGCCTTTTTCTCACATATATAAAAATATTTTAATGCTTCAGTTTTGACAGATGTCCGTCACAGGATACAGTTTACAGAGCCAGCGTTTCCTCGCCTTCACTCCTCGTCCTGCTTCGGCTCTTCAAACTCCGTCTTTGTCAGTTCAGCTCCGGGTTTTGAGTCTCTGACGTCGGATGGGGTCGGCGCCGAGTCTGGATCTGCTGCCGGTTCTTTGGGCTCTATGTCAAACGTCAGGCTGCTCAATTCAGCCGTAATGTCGACCTCTGGCACCGGCGGCTCCTTCTGAGGAAGCAGGAAGTCCAGAGGCTCGAGGACTGCGGCGAGGTCGATGGAGCCCAGATGGCCGTACTTATGCAGCTGGGTGGGAGGAACACCTGCGGAGAGACAACCGATTTGATTCAGACCAAACTCTGCTGCTCAGCACTTCTTAAGCTGTTTTAGCCATTACAAAGAATAACTTTGAGATAAGAGTCGAGGGCAAAAAAAGAAAAAGAGGTTAAAGATTTTTCTCTTTTAAACTAATTTTGTGAAGTCTTCTTCTCATTGACTGATTGGACCAAAAGTCTACTACAGAAAAAAAGCTTGTGTGGTGATTTTGTGGTTTTATTAGTGCCCCCTACAGGCTGAAGCGGTCATTACTCCAAATTCAGACCATGGTTTCACAAACGTCCCAGTGGCTACGCCCATCTTTTATATACAGTCTACCATGTACGTTCGTGCGGTTTCCAGCCCAAGACCGAAGGTGACCAACAAGAACAACAGTTTAAACTGAGACCACATTATTGGAATAACGACTTCACTTCCAGGCCCGTCGTTAAACGTCTTCAGCATCACCGTGTCCGTTTTAAACAAAGAAACAAACTCAGACGTTGCTGCGAGTCCTCACCCAGGATGAGAGCGAGCTGAGCCGGTGGAAACAGGACCTGCAGGCAGCGGTTCAGGAAGGGCAGCAGGTCTTCAGCGTACGCACAGCAGAACTGAATAAACAGCTCCTTCTCCCGGCTGCTGAAGGCCGTCTCCTCCGCCCGGTGAAACACCAGAATCTGACGGGTCACCTGACAAAAAACGACACCGTCAGCAGCTGTTAATCCAGCATCAGTCTGACTTTAACCCAGATTACACCAAAGATCCAGCTGCTCACCATCTTCAGGGCTTCCTCCAGGCATTTGGTGACATTCTCCACCACTCCGATGGGGCAGCAGAGGCGGAGGTCGTTGAAGGCCGTCAGGATGTTGTTGAGAAAGCAGGCGAGCGGCTGGAAGTCCAGCAGGGACATTGGGGGCTGCAGGGTGCCGGGCTGCGGGGCGGGGGCTACGACGGGGATGGTCCCTGCCAGCACTGAGGGCAGGGCGATGAGGGTGTACAGGTTCATGTCCTCCTGGAACTTTTCCACCGCCTCCTTCACGGCTCCGCGGAACGTGTCCACCGCCACCCGCTGGAACATGGGCGCCAGCTGCCCGCGGAAGTCCGCCCCCACCCTGCTGAAGGACAAACCGAAGTACATGCACTGACCCAGCAGGGAGTCCAGGCGGCTGCCCACACCCCGCTGCAGGTCCCTCTCTAAGGTCTCCAGGAACTCCGCCACCTTGTGCACCACCCAGCCGTGGAAGATGGCGCCCTCGTTCACAGCCATGAGCCCACCGGCGGGGGGCACTAGCGGGTCCTCGTCAGAGAAGATGGCTCTGTACTGGGTGATGATGTCAAACAGGTGCACCCTGCAGGCCTCGATGGTCTTGGTGATGTGAAAGTAAGCATCGTTTTCAGGGATGGCGGCGAGGATGGAGTGCAGCCAAGTGCTGCGAGCCTGCAGGAACTTCACCCGCAGCTCCGCCTCCGTGAACACGTCCATACGCCGCAGGTAACCGATGACGCGGAGGCACACGGGTAGCTGGGAGTTGCTGCGGAGCTGCTGCAACAGCTGGTTGAGCATCAGCTGAGCCGACTGACGCACTTCACGCACGATACCCTAAAGATGGAGAAGGTCAAAGGTTAGAGGAGCCGAAACATTAGATGTTCTCCACAGTGACCTTTTCTGTTTTATATCTCAGCAAAGAGAAAGTTTCTCAACTGTTTTTCTCCAGTTTTTGTCAATTTAGAGTTTAAACTAGCGATTTCCAGCCTGTACCTGAACCTGAGCCCCATCAACAACCTCCCGCAGTCACATTTTAGCCTTTTCACCTTCTCTGAAAGCCTGCTTTGTTCCAGCTGGCCAACACCTGGAAGCCTGCTGAGGGGCAAAACCCAGAGCTTGTTAGCTGTGCACGTAACAAAAGAAAACTGAGTATTCAGAGCGGTCTGGAGCCTGAGCTCTTTAATTCTCTTCACACGTGTAATTGTTTATTTGAACATTTTTTCTCCAACAGCACACGACAGAAAAGTAACGTTTATTTAGCCCTAACAGTTCATTTTCCTAAATAATATTTAGAGTTTCATTCAGGCAGTAAAAAAAACCCAAACACACCCGCTTTTTGGTCAGCCTGGTCTGGACTCACCTGGATGACGGGCAGCGACGAGTGTTTCTTCTCCAGCCTCTTCACGTATGCCGCCAGCTCCAGAGCCTCTTCGTAGTAGCCGTTGCGGACGCAGGTGTCCATGAGCTGAGGAATCTCCAGAATCTCCAGGATCTCCGTGTGGCGGTTCAGAGTGAGGCTGTTCATCCGGCGGCTTGCTCCGATCTCCTCCGCCTCTTTCATGAAGTGCCTGAAAACAAAATGAGCCCCCAAAGCTCAGAGAGACAGCACAACAGCAAACACACAACTATGTGTAACACGTAACACTTTATAGCTCTAAGAACCTTTTATTATCTTTCATTAATGTTCCCAGTCTTTAGTTTTGTTCTGGTTGTAAAGTCTGGCTGCCTGTTTTTTATTCTGAAAGCTCAAAGGAAATTAATCTGCTGCTGTTTTATTCCCAGTCAATTCACCTTCTGTGGCATATTCCTAAGAAAATAACTAAGTTATTCACTTTGATTCTTTGTATTTTTCTGTATTTAAATATTTTGAATTTAAAGGCAGGTTGTGATCCTACAGTGAGCTACAATAATAATAATCTGCATCTCTCTCCTTGATCAGTTCATCCTGTGTGCTTTTTAAAAAAGTTTTTATTAACCTAACAGTAAATGATGACACTTCAGGTGTTTTATAGACCCCAGTTTCCTCCACAGGGAGCCACCGACCTGCAATTCTCTCCGAAGCGGGGCAGCTTCTCCAGCAGCCGGGACACGCTGCTCTCCACCCGGCCGAAGTCCCGGTAGATGTGCTCGGTGCAGTCGGCGGTGCGGATGAAGGTCTGGTAGTTGGAGAAGGCCAGCTCCCGGGTCTGCTGCAGGATCTGAGCCCGCTCCTCCGCCAGCCTCTCCGGCTCCCGGCCCAGCTTCTCCACCCCGAAAGAGCTGAGCTCCGACAGGTAGGCCGCGAAGTCCGGGTTGTCCCTCCAGCTGTCCGGGAAGCTGTCCTTAAAGATGGACGCCAGGATGCTCTCATCCTCCACGTCCACCGCCGCCATGTTTACCGCTGCAGGTTCACGGAGTCCCGGTTCACAAACTGACAGGTTTCCTGGTTGTAAACAACCGGAACATCCAGCGCTGACGAACACGTCCCGGTTCTTCTTCTTCTCCTTCTGACACGTGTCAAAAAAGCTTAAAGGTGAAATACTGCCACCTGCCGGTGTTGTGCCAAAAATCATTTCCGAAGTTTCTTTGTTTTTGTTTTGTTTTGACTGTATACTATAATAATAGGTATATATGAAATACATAGAATATATTTGTGACTCTGATTTATTGAGTTATTATATCTATTTTGTCCTTTTTGGTCACTTAAATCATGTTTCTATAACTGTGACGTTACATTTGTTGGCCACGTCTCTCTGGAAAAAGACATTTCTGTTGCTAAAAACTGATAACTCAGCTATTATCAAGGCAGCTTCTGCCTTGAGATAGCATTTCTTTTTCTTTTTTGTGGAAAGTGAATGAATCATTCATGAGAGAGATGTCGAACACTTTTTTCACAGATTACAGGCCAACAATTAATTTATGACTGTTTAAATGTTTTTGCAAATATCACCAACACCAATATGAATAATTACTAGGATACTGATTTACCTGTATAATAATATGATAATAATATTCTAAGTACATTACAGTACAGTAAATATATATGATACTATAATAGAAAAATTACACACACTCGTTAACCTCTCAGTGAACCTCTGCACCAAAGCCCAGTGAGGCTAAAAATAGCCTAAATGAATTTAAACGAATTACGTTATTACAACTAATGCATAGACTGGCCATGGGCATACCAGGCATTTGGTGATTTTTCGTTTTTATGGGCTGATGGTTTTTTGTTTGTTTGTAACAGTATAAACAATGAAAGGTGATGGATTGGCCAGATGCTGGCAGATGTGTAAGAAGTTGTTTGGTGGTGGCTATGGCGGAGCTCCCACTGAGGCCAGCAGGTGGATGAGGGAAAGGGGAGGCAGGAGGAGGAGGAGAGCCCCGAGGCGGCCGCCGGTCTGAGTGTCAGGTGAACTGAACTTCAGGTAAGAAGTTATGACCTGCAGTCTATCTGGGTCAGATATGAACCAAGTTTAGGTGGAGTTTATTTTTGTTGTGCTGACTTTTTACTGTCAGTTACAATAACTCGCACTGACGGAGTTCCTATACAACTGGGTGGGTGCTATGATGTTACTGATAGTGAACTTTACTTTATTCATAAGGGTAGTTAGTAGAGTTGCCAACCGTCCTGTAAAAACGGAATCGTCCTGCATTCAGAGAAAATATTACACGTTTGGTATTGAGCTGAGAAGAGACGCAGTTTGTCCCGAACTTTAGCTAGAATGAAAAAAAGACACAAAGCTGGATTTATTCTGCATCTTTACACTGTCAGCTGCCTCTTCTTCGCTCATTCAATCATGAAACTGATCAATGATCAACTGATCAGCTTTTCTCTCTCGTTTGTTTATCGCTCACTTTGCGCCAGAAAGAGGAAACCAGCAGATGTCGCGCTAAACAACAGCAGCACGTTTAAGCTTGATCAGCTGTTGTTAGAATGTATTTAATATTAATTTCTAGTATCAGCTGATGTTTGCTGGAGCCACAGCTGTAAAACTGCTGGTCATGATGTCAGTTTGGTTATCTGGTGAGAGGGAAACATGGAGATGAAACCAGGAGATGTCCTTACTGGATCATCAGAGCTGAACAGGTGATGGAGAAACAGGTTTACCTTTTAGGTGACATGAATGAGTTGAAGTTATGAACTGTTTCTGAGAGACAAATAACACCAGGATCCTTTTTAAGTAGCTGACAGCTGGTAACTGTGCAGGGGCGGGTCTAGCAAAGTCTTGCCAGGGGGGCAGGTAGGGCATTAACAGGGAGAGGTGGGCACAAAGAAATACTTTTCTTTCTTATTCTCATTTAAAATGTCTCGCTTTTAATAAATAATTATCTGAATCTTACAACCAAAGTTTTCATCTGATGTACAATGTATAGAAATCATACATATACCAACAAGACTGTACATCACTGTCACAACAGGGTTTGTTTTCATTCAACGGCTTTATGGCTTTTCCTGTAATACCTGGTGGGCCGGTCACTAGTCAAAATGCCCGAGCCGATTTTTTGTCCCAGTCCAGCCCTGACTAATGAATTAATTTCCTAATTAATTTTGTTTTATTTTAGTTTTGTAAATACACAATGTCATTTTAGATAGCTTTCATTTTCTTACAAAGCTGCTTTTCTTTCAGTGCAGCTTAAAACATTAGAGGCAAATTTAGAGGGGGCGGGTAACCAGGTTTATGAGAAACTACAAACCAAATTTAGAAAAGGGACAGATATGTGAGGGGGAAAATACTTAATCACAAGAAAATAAAAGATGCATTTAGGGGAAAATTATAAGGAAAATAATCTAAATTTACCAGAAAAGATTTGAGAAAAAGGGAAAAGTTTGGCAAACGTAACCAAAATAAAAACAAAGAGAAACCTGGCAAATCTGGAGAAATGGAAATTTAAGATAAATACCGCTAAGTTAACGGCGCTACTGAAAAGTTCAACCTAGTGATTGTTTCCTACAGTCATGACTTCGAAGCGTATTTGTTAATAAAGTTGTTTGGGGAAAAAGGCTAATGACGTCAGCGGAAGTGAGGTGTGTGATTCAGTTGCTAAGCTGCAGCCGAGCAGTAAACGGACCGTCGACAAGTTGCTGTCGCCGTCTCACCGGATCAACTTTAAGCCGTCCGTCGGTGACCGACAGACCGAGGTAAGCTGCCCAACGCCAGACTGAGTCTGCTCGGTCCAAGTTCCGCCGGGGAGCCGCTGCTCCTGATGCCGATGCCCGGCCTCAGTGTTCGGCTAACGTTAGCCCGGAGCTCGGTACGGCGGGTGGTTAGGTCAGCACCTGCCACAGAGTTAACGGGTTAAAGTGGGGAGCAGACGGACCTCCTCTGGTGTTTTAGTCTGAACATGAGCTCGTCTGTGGTTTAATGAGCTTAATGAAGAACCTTAATGAGATTACCTGAAGTTAGCTGAAGCTCCAGGAGAGCAGAGCAAACACTCCTGACCACAACAGCACTGCTCAGTTAGTTTACCGGTGTTTTCATACACGTTATGATCTGAGAAAAATGCGCCAGTTTCCATAAAGCGGAACAGAAATGTTCGCTTCAGTCTGCAGACAGTAACACATGAAGGTTCATGCAGATTTTAAATATTATTTTTGTGTTAGAAAAATAGATATTATCTAACAGTTTGGATGTAGATGAAGGTGCTGATGAGGATGAGAAATATCTTATTTATCCCATATTTGGGAGACTTTTGTTATAGCAGGAAATGAATATCAGACACCAACCGACATCACCTGATAACACCAAACAAGATTTATTCTGTTTGTTCATTTGTGAAATCTTGTGTTTGCAGGTGAAGAATTATGTTATTTAAGTGCACTTATTTAAGAAAAAAATTCAAGGAGTTTGAATTGTGCGGTTGCTTTGAGGTTGTTGATGATGTATCTGCACCGTGTCTTTATGGATCTAGAGAAAGCAGATGATAGAGTGCCACGAGATGCACTGTGGTACTGCATGAGGAAGTCGGGAGTAGCAGAGAAGGATGTGAGGGTGGTGCAGGACATGTATGAGGACGGAGAGAGACAGTGGTGAGGTGTGTGGTAGGAATGACAAATGGGTTCAAGATGGGGGTGGGATTACATCAGGGATCTCCTCTGAGCCCCTTCTTGTTTGCTGTGGTGATGGGCACAGGCTGATAGACGAGGCCAGGCAGGAGTCTCTGTGGATCGTGATGTTTGCAGATGACACCGTGAGCTGCAGTGGGAGCAGGTCGAGGTATGCTCTGAACACAAGAGGAATGAAAGTCAGTAGGAGGAAAATAGCTGAACCGAAGAGGATAACGTGCCACTCGTCTCGCTCTCATTCACACAATGAGAGAGACGAGTGGAAAGGTTAACATGCAAGCACCGGAGGTAGTGCCGAATGAATAATTGTTTCTGAGACGTGAGATGTGGGAATTTATGGATTTAAAATTTATCGCTCAAGCAGCCTCAGAAAGGCAGAAGTGTGGCAGTTTTTTATGAAGCTAGGTCTTTAACTGTTGTTGACTTCGACCCTGGCACGTTCTCCTCTTTGGCTCATCTATTATAATGAAATCATTCTGGTAGGTGATTTTAATTGGGATCGGTTTTCTCCTGTGTCTGATTATTTTAAGGCACACTGTTTTTAATCTAACACAAATGATTAAAGCCCCACACACCTTATTCCCCAATAAATCATCTTTGATTAATGTGCCACATCATTTCTCCGCAGCAGTTTTTACCAGTGCCTTGACTGATCGCTGCGTGGTTGCTGCTGCGAGGAACAGTTTCATGCTCTGAGCATCATCACAAACAGAAATTTAAAGCTGTTACATGAGCAAGCCTTTTGTCACGACTTCATGAATTTACATTGGGTCAGTTTTACATTGATGCACTGTGTTAACTTAGCTTGTAAATATTACTCTGAGAGTTTTATCTGCCTTGTGGACAAACATGCTGCTTTTTGCCAGGTCAGAGTGAAAGGGCGGGACAGGAAGCAGCCCTGAGCAGCTTCGAGAAAGTCCGACACTGATGCCAATGGCTAAGGTTTGGCAGCTGCGTAATAGCTTCGCTGCTTCTATTAGGAAATCCAAATGTGATCACTTTCTGATCTTAACCACTGACAGTCTCAAAGTCCCTGGGACGCTTTGGCAGACTATAGATTCTCTCTCTGACAGCTTTGAAGAGCATTAACATTAAAAAGTCACCGGTCCAGACAATCTGTCTCCGTTCTTCTTGTGTCTGCTTGCAAACATCATAGATGAGACAGCGTCTTATATTTTTAATCTTTGCATACAACTGAACACTTCAGCAGAGATCCCAGTGTGCCTTTGTACTGCCCTCCTGAAAGGTGATGATTCTTGGATGTTAATAATATGAACCAATCTGCAAACTCTGTATTTTAGCTGAGATTCTTTAATGGCTGAGGAATAATCAACCTTAGAGCTATCAGAATGAAAGTGATATTTTATCTCTCTAGTACTGTAACTTAAAGGTTTAAAGTTTAAAGTTCTCAATGATATCTACGAGGCCCTGGAAGCA